TTGTTTTGATTAGATCTTAGTGCTTACATCTGATAGCACTTGTCAGAAATGATTTATCTGATGGTCGAATGGTCACTGCTTTTGGGGGTATATTTTTGTCGACATAATGGTTATATATCTTCATAAAGTTATCATATATATTATTGATATTGCGTGTATTAAATACCTCTCTATCCCAATCAACATTTGACAAATCTGTGCGTAGTTGTGAGTAGTTAGCTTTTGTATAATTTCTTATGTATCTTTTATATGAATGTTGCTTGAAAGTTTTAAAATGCAGATCAACACCAACTGGCTGTGAGTGCTACAAAAAGGTGTTAGGATATTTACAGTTTCTATTTTTTCAACAGCATTGGTAATAGTCAGATCAATACATGTACCTCTTGATGTTGAAACATTTGTTGGTTTTTGTATCAACATTTGATAGCGAAAATTTTTGCAACATAAATTTCACGGTTGAGTAATTCTGAACACTAATTTTGATGCATAGTAACATACTTTCTCATCTGACCAATTAATTTTCGTAATTTTCGGTCATGCGGTCAATTTTTTTTTTCGAATATTATGCTTCCCTGCGTTTCTTTTTCCTTTGAGTATATATTGCTAAATTATGTATAGTATGTATAGTATGTCATATTCACATACTGAGAGGCCAATTTGTTATTGCATAATTGTTTATTTAATTATCTCATTAATTTTGTTTTAACCTCACATGGTCTCCCAATCTTTTTATTCCATTTCATGTATTATATTATGTGTTGACACTTCAAATCTATCTAAAGTTATTTGGTAAAATGGAAAAAAAAAGCTCAGTGTAATCAGAGAAGAGTTTCACCCTATAGGAAAGAAAGCTGAACTTGTATTTAATAATTTTTTCTTCTTTATACAGTAAAACTCAGTTATAACGAAGTCACTGGGACCTGTAAAATTACTTTGCTATATCCGTAATTCGTTATATCCGTGTAAGGAATTTGTCTTTATATAGCTCGGGATCCAAGATAACTTAACGATATCCGTGTTTTCGCATTATCCGTGTTCGTAGTGGACTTTTACGAGTAGCGCTGACTTTTACAGTTGACAGCTTTCTTTTACACTAGAACAACTTTTACGATAAAATATTTAGCTCAACATTTAATTCAACCAAAATAACGGGTTATTTCAAAGCGTAAATCAGTTGTCCTTAAAGAAAACGACAACCATCCTACCCTCAACTCCCGGTCTTCACATGTTAGTCCCCCTAACAACATTAGGGGTACTACTTATGACCACTAGAAAAGTGTTCTTATCTATTATCAATTCCGTACCTCCATAAACAATGCAGGTTTAAATGTCAAGTAAATCAACTGTGAAAGTAAGTGCTTCTCGTAAAAGTCCACTAAACGAGTTTTACTGTATATGTTTACCTATTACATGTACCTTGTTCTCAATATTAGTATCTTGACTTATCCTCACTACTTTAGTATGTTGCTCATTATATTTTTTATAGTATTCAGCAATCTTTATTGATTTACTGAAACAAAAAAGTTTTTAATCGAATAAAGGAAACTACATGCATATGCCAGTAATTGAGTAAAATGTTCAAAAATGAATTTATGTTAGAAATTATACATGTTTATGCATAATCTTTTGGCTGAATGTTTGTAGATTTTACAATATTAATAACTGTTCCTGATCTTCACTTTTTTACTGATTAATAAAAATTGGCAAGTTTATTTAAAAAAATACTTTTTATCCAGGAATATAACTTTAATTAATATGACAATCAAATAAGAAAGTGGGAATTCAAAACAGTATCAAGAACTTTATTTCATTTCAATTAAATGAAACTTATTTATATCAATGCATAACAGTTCAGTAAGTTGTAAAGTGTAAAGGTTTCAAAATTCTATTATCACAACACATTTTAAAATCAACAGATTTATACTGAAGATGATGAAACAGATGAGAACGCCGAGGATAAAACATCCAAGACAGGTACCTGCTATAATCACTTTCTTTATTCGGTTGTTTTCCATTGTGAAATCATTCACATTATCATGCATCATGAGGACAGAATTTCTAGTAACATGTATTTCTTGCTACGATGAATATTTTTTTTTACACATAATAATTATGATACCATGATTCTGTTCTTTACTTTTCTTAATACAATATGTACACTGCTGAAACTGTAATTTTACGAACATGTTCCCATCCCTGCATTTTTTAAACAAGAATCATTATCAATGATACAGCCGGCATTGTTTGAGCATGTAAGTCTAAAAAAAAAACCTTAATACAAAAAAAAACCAACAGAATATTTTTTCTTAATTAAAAAAAAATGTCTTCTTTTTTTCAAATCATTGCATATATGCTGCAACGAGAGGAGAATATTTTTCAGAATTAATCCGTTACAGGAAAATGAAATCATTATATAAATAATTTTGTACGAATTATTGTGAAAAAAAGACTGGAAACAAATAAAAGCCTGAAGACTACAGAATAAATTTATTTATTACTTATGTGAATATAAAGAGAATTCAATCAAGAGCGAGTAAATCTCAAACAGATATCAAACTGAAAAATGAATGATAAACAAAAGCAAATTCCAAGAATTGTGATCCCCCGCTTTCGGTGTCTTAATTTGTGGGTGAAATTGTCTTTTTATGGCATATTGCTTCAAATATGAACACCCTTTCATATGTCATTCAAAAGTTAACACCGAAGTTGATTTTTGTTTTTAAATTAGGTCAATCATGAAGCTCAATGTTGCCCTCTGCATTATCATTTATCACAGTTAGAGGGCTAACCTCCCGCTGTTTGCTCAGTGTGCTCAGTGTATTTTGGGTTACCGTAATCATTGGAATTTTTACTCTGCCTGGTGATTAGCCATGCAGAACCCCCCTAGACTCGGAGGACTATTGTTTTTTTTTTTTTTGTTTTTTTTTCTGTATGGGTTTTCCTTCCCTTAGTGAAGAAATTGGGAATCAGTTGAATTGGGATTAAATCGGTCCAATGCATTTGGAATTCCACAGGCCGAAGTCCCTATGCACACCCGAAAACAACATATATATACAGCTCAACGCACTTCTTAAGCTCACATGGTTTTTCGCACAAATTAAGGTCACATTGTTGTAATAAAAATTACCATTTTCGAACTACAGTACAATAACATAACCCTACGTTATATTACATATATAATGTTCAACCATAGATGTCTTTTAAAATTATTATCCTAAGTTTCCAAAGTGGATGTTTTTAAGGGGAATTTATGTATAAATGGTAATATGTTTCGACTATAAGATTCTACCATAGGTTTTAACAATTGTATAAAACAAGCTTTCCTTGATACCATGTAATTGAATTTTTTAAATTTTCTTCTTAAAGGTGAGTAGTTTTAAAAATTCTTTGTTCATTTACCATACTCCTCTTGGTTTTGTCGAAATGTAGCACCGAAAAGGGATAACATTGCAGAAGGAAACCACACTAAAGGGTATGATAATAAAGTATTGTTTATTTTTTTTAATAGTGAATTCCTTCTATGAAAAGGAAAATTCCTCTACATTTACGGTTTGAAAGGTTGGAATTTTGCAGTGGGATGAATCTTTCATGAGTCCAGATTTTAGTAATTGATTCTGAAAAATCCCACCTTATTTAAATTCAAAGCAGTCAAACAGATGAAAAATAATATTATCAACCCGAGCTACAGAGTCAAAATGTACAGAAAATACAAGTTACAGTAGCTAAACTGTGCCCATGTCTACATTTCTGCAAAGAGGTATTGCTTTCAAAAGAATTGATAAAAAGACAGTTGCAATTGGCAAGAAACCACAAGAATTCAAATGAGAGTAGTTGTTATTTTTCAGCCATGAAAATATCAAAGTTCTATACCAATTGATATGTGTGAATTATGTTTTAGTAAATGAAATACCCCCGGTAAAACTCAAATAAGGTAAACAAATACTTTTAAAATGTATTATGATGCCTCGATACACAATATTACATCATAAGAATGTGACCTTAATTTGTGCGAAAAACCATGTGAGCTTAAAAAGTGCGTTGAACTGTATAGGGAGCTGGAATATGAGATCCATGTATATTACAGGGAAAACAGCCCAGATAGAACAGGAAATGGATAGCTATCGGCTAGATATGATAGGACTTAGTGAAGTCAGATGGCCTATGAATGGAAAAACTACATTACAAAGTGGGAAACTACTTTTACTGCTTTACTCAGGACGAGAGGGTGGATTACATCAAGAAGGAGTAGGAATAATGATGACAAAGAAAGCTTAAACGTCACTGATGGTATTGAAACCCATTAATGACAGATTGATGTATGCAAGATTCTATACATCAACTCTAAAGATCAGCTTGATAGTAGTTTACTCACCAACAAAGGAGAGTCCTGAAGAGACAAAAGAAGAATTCATGGAACAATTGCAGGAAGTTATTAATAACATTCCAAAACATGACATAGTGCTTATTATTGGAGATATTTTTGCAAAGGTTGGTAGCAACAACAATGGCCATGAAAGTGCTATAGGGAAACATGGAATAGGAGAACGAAATGAAAACGGAGAACGCTATTGGATATGTGCAAACTTAACAACTTCGTCATTGCATAACACAAGATTTCCTGAATCTCACCCGATGGAATGACGGAAAACCAAATTGATCATGTGCTTATTTCGAAACAACACAGAACATCTATCTTAGATACAACAGCGATGAGAGGAGCCGCGGCTCCGCGATGCATGCAGTGATCATGAACTGTCAAGGTGTAAGATCAGAATAAAATTGAAGAAACAATAGCAAAATGCAGACATACACAGAAAGAAGTATGATGTTACACAACTACAATAGCTCGAGAAAAGGAGAGCATTCACACTGGAGCTTAAAAATAGATTCCAAGTGCTAGAAGGAATAGAAAGTGTTGAAGACATCTGAGGAAATATGATAAAAGGTTACAGCAAGACAGCAGACAGCATACTTGAGGTAAAAGAAAGGGGACGAAAACCATGGATAAGAAGAGACTCTTGGAAAGTGGTAGGAGACAGGAAGCGGCTAAAACTCCAACTTACCAACACAGATCAGAAAGGTAAAAAAGAAGCTTGAGAAATAAATATTTAATAAAAGACAGAGAGGTAAAACGCAGTATGAGGAATGACAGGAGAAAGTGGACAGAAGACATGATTACAGAAGCAGAAAGAGCAGCAAGTAATGGGCACATGAAAACAGTATACGAGATAACTAGAGTGCGAAGTAATGAGAAGAAAGGCATGACAACGGCAATAACGGATAAAGAGGGCAAGATCCTGAGAGTCAAGACATAGGCGCTTGGGTCAAGGATTCCGTGATATTCTAGTGTATATAAAGCAGAAAGCTTTACAAAAAACTAATAATTCACACTGTTCACTGAAAACAAATGTTACGAGTATAGTTCGAATTTTCTCGACAATACATTATATAGAAGATATACAGTATCCTTGACCCAAACGCCTATGAGTCAAGATGAAAGAAAGAAAAGGTGGAAAGAACACTTTCAAGAAATATTAAACCGCCCGCAACGCGAACATCTAAGTATTAGATGAGATGGATACAAGTCCCATATGGAAAGATGAAATTGCCAAGGCTATAAAGAAATTGAACTAATGGAAAAGCTGGAGGATTAGATGGGATAAAAGCTGAAATGTTAAAGACATCACAGAGACAACAGCAAGATATTTGGAAAAACTCTTTTCAACAATCTGGAAACAAGAAACTACTAGTATACCATCGGTTTGGAGTAAAGGCCTTATAGTGAAGATCCCAAAGAAAGGTGATAGATCAATATGCGATAATTATAGAGGTATAACACTTTTGTCTGTATCAAGTAAAGTATTCTCCAGAATAGTTATACAAAGAATTTTCAAGATGGAGTGGAAAAACAGCTGTGCAAGGAACAAGCTGGCTACAGAAGAAGGAGTATTACAAAACTACGGGTATTTACACTCCGTAACATCAAAGAGCAATGCACCGAATGGAATTCAACATTGTTTGTAATTTATGTTGACTTTGAAAAGGCATTTGATTCCATTCACAGTGAGAGCCTTGAGTCTATCATGAAGTTTTATGGCATCCCAGACAACGTGGTCAGAATGGTGAAACTCCTATATGAATCATTTCAATGTGCAGTCCTAGACGATGGGGAAGAAACGGACTGGTTCCGGGAAACAACAGGAGGGAAGCAGGGGTCCACAATGTCTGGATTCCTATTCTGTTGGTTATAAATTACGTAATGAAAAGAACTACAGAAAGAGAACCAATAGGAATAAGGTGGAATTTCGCAACAAAACTCGAAGACCTAGACTTCGCAAATGATCTTGCCTTACTTTCCTCCAAATTTCAAGACATCCAGCAAGAGACACAAAGACTCAATGAAACTGCTGGACAAGCTGGCCTCAGAATAAACATAGAGAAAACCAGTGATGAAGCTCAACACTTACATAAAAGAGGCAGTCAAGATTGATGGGCAAGATGGACGATGTAGAAACACTTACCTATCTTGGAGGTGCGATAACGACAAAGGAAGGAACTGATGAGGACATTACCAACAGACTGGAAACAAAACTATCCATCATAGAACAAAGACAGCAAGAGAAATGATAACCCTCAGGAAGTGGAATTGGATTGGCTATGTACTGAGGATGGATAACACCATGATATGTACAATGCATTAGCATGGCAGCTAAAAACAAGGAGAAGGACCACAGGGCAAGAGATGCTACAACTGGGATGAAAAAGCTGGGCAGCAGCGAGGGCAGCAGCCAAAGACATAGGCAGGTGGAGGCAGTGTGTTGGGGCCTTATGTGCCAGCAGGCACGAAGAGGACATGTGCGAGGTGAGGTTCTTCGCTTTTAAAAGGCCGTTTTTAGCTCTACTGGTCAGAGACCAGAAGAGGTTATGCGATAGTAAGGTGTCCGTCGTCCCTCCGTCTGTCTGTCTGTCCGTCTGTCTGTAAACAATTTTTCAAAACGCTACTCCTCCTACAGTTTTGGTCTGATTTCAATATAACTTGGCACACAAGTAGACTTCACTAAGATACATAAAGTAGTGCATCGGTTTTTGATTTCGATGAACGGTGTTGCCATGGTTACTAAAAATAGAATTTTCTTTGAAATTCCTTTAAAACGCTACTCCTCCTACAGTTTTGGTCTGATTTCAGTATTACTTGGCACACAAGTAGACTACACTAAGATACATAAAATAGTGCATCGGTTTTTGATTTCGATGAACGGTGTTGCCATGGTTACTAAAAATAGAATTTTCTTTGAAATTCCTTTAAAATGCTACTCCTTCTACAGTTTTGGTCTGATTTCAATATTACATAATACACAAGTAGACTACACTAAGATACATAAAATAGTGAATTTGTTTTTTATTTTGATGAACGGTGTTGCCATGGTTACTAAAAATAGAATTTTCTTTGAAATTTCTTTAAAACGCTACTCCTCCTACAGTTTTGATTTGATTTCAATATTACTTGGCACACAAGTAGACTACACTAAGATACATAAAATGGTGCATTGGATTTTAATTTCGATGAACGATGTTGCCATGGTTACTCAAAATTGAATTTTCTTTGAAATTCCTTTAAAACGCTAGTCATCCTACAGTTCTGGTCTGATGGCAATGGCTTCTTTTCTCATCCTTTGTTATAAGTACAAACCAGTAGAGCTACAGTCTCGACAGAGACTTCTGGTTTCGTAGATGAATGCATTGGATTCATACCAAACATGCATGCACAGATTATAATTTTTACCACGCATAATAAATCATATCACAAGGTTTGAAGCTAGTAGAGAAATCATACTAGCTAAAAAAATTGTTGGTTAAAGTAAATAACAGCTTTGTAATTTAATGTTTTATTTTCATTCAAAATTTTGATTGCAATTGCCGATAGGTCATCCATTCGTTAATATAGTTTTTTTAATACTAACTGAACAAGCTAATTCAGAGAATTCGTGTCCCCCGCATAGGGAAAAAGTCGGCCCCCCTGACTGAATTTGTAGAATTATTAAATGTATACATGTATACCGAAGGAAATAAAATACATGTATGTCAATATGCATATAATATAAAGATTTGATTGCTTATTCTTTATTATGTGTATAGAAGATTTTTTATATGGAATATTTATCACACTATAATGATGATTTTATAACCTCATAAATTTTTCATTTCACATGCTGAATACTATCATTTAGTAAAAAAAAAGTATTTAAAAAAACAAGAGGCCCATGGGCCACATCGCTCACCTGAGAAGCTTTGACCATTCTGTTCTTTACCAGATTTCACCCTTGTTATACATAATGCATCCCCACCCTACCCCACTGATCATAATTTAGACATTTTGAAATCTACACTACCCCATGATCCTTCCATGGGCACATATGTTTCAGCTTTTTTGGCCCAGTGGTTCCTGAGAAGAAGATTTTCAAAGATTTTTCCTATATATTTCTATGTAAAACTTTGATTCCCTATTATGGCCCCGCCCTTCCCCCGGAGGTCATGATTCCTACAATTTAGAATTTACACTACCCCAGAATGCTTCCACATAAGCTTCACTTTTTCTGGCCCAGTGGTTCTTGAGAAGAAAATTTTCAAAGAATTTTCCTCTATATTTCTATATAAAACTTTGATTCCCCATTGTGGCCCCGCCCTTCCCCCGGGGGTCATTATTTGAACAATTTAGAATCTACATTATACCAGGATGCTGCCACATAAGTTTCAGCTTTTCTGGCCCAGTGGTTCTTGAGAAGAAGATTTTCAAAGATTTTTCCTATATATTTCTATGTAAAACTTTGATACCCCATTGTGGCCCCGCCCTTCCCCCGGGGGTCATGATTTGAACAATTTAGAATCTACACTATACCAGGATGCTTCCATATAAGTTTCAGCTTTTCTGGCCCAGTGGTTCTTGAGAAGAAGATTTTCAAAGATTTTTCCTATATATTTCTATATAGAACTTTGATTCCCCATTGTGGCCCCGCCCTTCCCCCGGGGGTCATGATTTGAACAATTTAGAATCTACATTATATCAGGATGCTTCCACATAAGTTTCAGCTTTTCTGGCCCAGTGGTTCTTGAGAAGATTTTCAAAGATTTTTCCTATATATTTCTATGTAAAACTTTGATTCCCCATTGTGGCCCCGCCCTTCCCCCGGGGGTCATGATTTGAACAATTTAGAATTCACATTATATCAGGATGCTTCCATATAAGTTTCAGCTTTTCTGGCCCAGTGGTTCTTGAGAAGAAGATTTTCAAAGATTTTTCCTCTATATTTCTATGTAAAACTTTGATTCCCCATTGTTGCCCCGCCCTTCCCCCGGGGGTCATGATTTGAACAATTTAGAATCTACATTATATCAGGATGCTTCCATATAAGTTTCAGCTTTTCTGGCCCAGTGGTTCTTGAGAAGAAGATTTTCAAAGATTTTTCCTATATATTTCTATGTAAAACTTTGATTTCCCATTGTGGCCCTGCCCTTCCCCCGGGGGTCATGATTTGAACAATTTAGAATCTACATTATATCAGGATGCTTCCACATAAGTTTCAGCTTTTCTGGCCCAGTGGTTCTTGAGAAGAAGATTTTCAAAGATGTTTCCTATATATTTCTATGTAAAACTTTCATTCCCCATTGTGGCCCCGCCCTTCCCCCGGGGGTCATGATTTGAACAATTTAGAATCTACATTATATCAGGATGCTTCCATATAAGTTTCAGCTTTTCTGGCCCAGTGGTTCTTGAGAAGAAGATTTTCAAAGATTTTTCCTATATATTTCTATGTAAAACTTTGATTTCCCATTGTGGCCCTGCCCTTCCCCCCGGGGTCATGATTTGAACAATTTAGAATCTACATTATATCAGGATGCTTCCACATAAGTTTCAGCTTTTCTGGCCCAGTGGTTCTTGAGAAGAAGATTTTCAAAGATTTTTCCTATATATTTCTATGTAAAACTTTCATTCCCCATTGTGGCCCCGCCCTTCCCCCGGGGGTCAGGATTTGAACAATTTAGAATCTACACTATACCAGAATGCTTCCACATAAGTTTCAGCTTTTCTAGCTCAGTGGTTCTTGAGAAGAAGATTTTCAAAGATTTTTCCTATATATTTCTATATAAAACTTTGATTTCCCAATGTGGCCCCGCCCTTCCCCCGGGGGTCATGATTTGAACAATTTAGAATCCACATTATATCAGGATTCTTCCATATAAGTTTCAGCTTTTCTGGCCCAGTGGTTCTTGAGAAGAAGATTTTTTAATGACCCCACCCTATTTTTGTCTTTTCTTGATTATTTTCCCTTGCGAGGGGATATGTCCCTTCATTTTAACAATTTAAATTTCCCTTTACCCAAGGATGCTTTGTACCAAGTTTGGTCAAAATTGGCCCAGTGGTTCTTGAGAAGAAGTCGAAAATGTGAAAAGTTTACAGACGGACAGACAGACGGACAGACGGACGGACAGACGGACGGACGACGGACACAATGTGATCAGAAAAGCTCACTTGAGCCTTCGGCTCAGGTGAGCTAAAAAAGAAATAAAGGATCGACCGAGATTCGATCCCGTGTCCTCTCACATTTGAAGCGAGAGACATAACCACTAGACCACGGAATCGCTTTACGCTGCGTGAAGTATATGCAGAACTGAAGTCACATGCATGTATATATTCATGTTTTCATGTTCGGTATTCTCAAAATTTTACACAATCCATGGTGTTTGATTTATTTAGCCTTTATTAAACAGTTCTAATAGATGTAATAAGAACATAAAGTCCGCCGAGAACCTGTTTTATACGCAATAACTCTCCTCATGCCCCTGCGCTAAAAATAGCGACAATTAATACTATAAATACTAATAAAACAAACGGGGTGGGGCACTTTGAGAGGTGTGAGAGAAGTCCTATGGAGTTTTGGTATAAAATTACATTGCATAAGCTCAAAATCTTCTTGAAATATCGCCCAGAAATGATAGTGCTACACGCAGACAGAATGTATAAATTTACGACCTTGAACTTAGACCTTTTGACTTCAAAATCAATAGGGGTCTTCATTAGGCCACAGGGAGTTGTTATGTAAAATTTCATTGCAACAGCTCAAATGGTTTTGGAGATATCGTGTGGAAACGAAAGTGATATAACAGACAGAATTTGCTTATTTATGACTTTGACCTTTGACCTTTTGACCTCAAAATCAATAAGGGTCTTCTTTAGTCCATAGGGAGTTGCTAT